TGGAACTTACTGGAAGAAGTGTGTCCCTGGGGATGGGCTTTGAGGTTGCAGAAGTCCCTGCCAGGCCCAGAGTCCCTCTCAGATCATCAGATCAGGATGTCGCTCTCAGCTGCTTCTCCAGCATCATTGCCTGTTGCTTTCCACCACAATGTAATGTGCTTAACTGTAAGCAAGTCCCCAAAGTCTTTCTATGAGAGCTGCCTTAGTCATGTGTCTCTTCAGAGCAGTGGAACACTGACTGAGACAGGAGCCAAGGATAGTCTTGAACTCTTGATCCTCTTGCCTCTGCCTCTCAGCTAATGGAACTACAGGCATGTGCCAGCACATTGGACCAGTTTTGAACTTCCACTGCTGCCTGGTTGCCATGCAGGGAGGCAGAAGCTGAGGAAGCCTGCACATGTAGCAGATTGCCTGTGGAACTTGGTACTGCCAAGGGTTCCAAAACTTCTGGGAGACCTGCTGGGAAGGAGGATGGGGGGATTTAAAAAAGACTCCTCCCTATGGCAGCACTACCATAGCCTCCTAAGCTCTGGGGTTGTAGGCTAGCACCACCATGCTCCCTGGGAAGACAGGCAAGCATTGTAGACTCAGGTGGGGAGACCTAGATCCTAGCTTAGCCACTTACTGTGTGACAGCCTGCAAGGACCCAGGCTGAAATCTGCCACTGTGAGCTTCTATTGCTTGGTTCATAAAATTAGGCATAGTACAAACGCTATATGCCTAAGGAGTGGGTGTGAGGTTTAAATGAGATACTTCTATGTTTACTGTCTAGTAGGGTATTTGACATTTATTACACTAAGTAGGTATTAACAGATGAGTCTAGGTATTAACAGATAAGTCTTAAGATATAGAGAGGGAGGGCTGGAAGAATCAGCTCAGTGGGTGGAGTGTTTGCTATATGAATATGAGGACCCAAGTTTTGCTCCCAAACACCCACATTAAAAAAAAAAAAAAAAGCTAGGTTTGGTGGTGTGTATTGTAACCTCCTGCTGGGGAGGGAGAGACAGCTGGTTCGAGGCAGCTTGCTGGCTAGTGCAGCTGAATCCGTAAGCTCCAGGTTTAGTGAGAGATCCAACAGACCTCTGGCCTCCATGTTGCAAGAATGGGCACACACACACACTGCATACACCTACGGTGAGAGGGACCCCAATCTGAGTCTGGAAGTTATCTTGGGGATCACTGATCACCTTGCCAGACGGCTTTCCCACCATCACTTGAACTCATTTTTTTGCCCTATTGTCAGTAGGTGTCTCTTGCTCCCTTCTCTTCGCTTAGATTCTGAATGTTGTCCATGTTACCTCTTGTTCCAACTTAATCATTTATCAAATCCATAAGATCCTCTTTTTTGTTGTTGTCGGTTTTGAGACAGGATTTCATGTATTAGAGGCTGGCTTTGAACTTGCTTTGTAGCTGAGGATTATTTTGAATGTTTGGATCATCCTGCCTTCACCTCCCAAGTGCTGGGGTTACAGGCGCGCACTGCCATCCCTAGGTTACATGATTTAACACGATGCCCCACGCATTCCAGGCAGGCACTTTACTAGCAGATCATGTGTTTGCATGTCCGTGCACATGGATCCATGTGTGTAGGGCCAGAGGGCAACATTGGATGTTGTTCACGAACACCCACCTTTTTGTTTGAGGCAGCATCTCTCACTGGCTTGGAGCACACCAAGTAGCCGGGCTGGTTAGTGGGCCTCAGGGATCCACCAGATTCCCCTCCCCCCAAGTCCTGGGGTACAAGTGTACACTACTTAGCACAATTTTTACTTAGGCAATTAAAAAAAATGGCTGCAATACCCTGGTACCATTTATTAGCTTTTCAGTCATCTAGGGCTTCTCCCTCCCCCCCCCGAAAAAGGGTTTATCTGTGTATCTCTGGCTGTCCTGGAACTCACCTTACAGACCAGGCTGGGTTCAGATTCAGAGAGGTGCCTGCCTCTGCCATTAGTGCTGATATTAAAGGCATATGCCACCAACACCCAGCTTCTCCTTTTTTTTCTTTTTAATACAGGGATTCTGGGATAAAACTTTGGTCCTCATGTTTGCAAGCAAATTCTTTGATGAATTAAGCTTTCTCCCAGCCCCCTTTTCTTGTTTTTGAGTCAGGCAATCAGTATATAGCCCAGGCTGACATCAAATATACAATTCTCCTACCTCAGCCTCTAGAGTGCAGGGATTATAGACATTTACCACTGTGCTCAACCTGTAATGTCCTTTCACTCTTGGTTCAGGTGATTGGTGGCAACTCATCAAAAACAGGAGATAAGAAGTAATCAGGGCCAGGCAACCTGTCAAACCAAATGGCATTTTCCTCAGGGAACTCATAGAAACCACAGAACACGAACCATGTTGGTAGGATTAATGACGTTTAATTTTCTCTATTACTAATGTCTTACAGTAAGTGTGGGGGGGTCAAGAGGGGATCGGTCAGGAAGTGTCTCTCCCGTTCCTTGAACTATTGAAGCGTGTGCTAGAATGAGAGCTCAGTAGAAGCATTATGTCCTTATCAGCACAGAACTTGTGATGAAGTGGTGGGGACAGGATAGACAGCTCTATAGCTCTGGTTAGAATGAGAGAAAGGGCAAATCCTGCATCAAATTTGGCACACGGGGCACACAGGACATGTGGATGCCACAGTGGGTGCAGGAAGAGCTGCCTCCTTGAGACAAGGGAGGAGTGTCCATGCACCTCCTGGACCCTGAATGCATCTGCCTTTCCTCAAGGGTGGGGACACCCATCTTCTGGAGCAACACCACACTGTTGGGGAAGACTCTGAGGGAGATTTTTTTTTTTCCTTTTTAAAAAACTATTTGCTGGTGGTTTTGGTGTGGACTGACCAGAAGTGCTTGTGATTTTTTTCACTTTTGGGCAGAAGCATTGTGTGTGGTGAAAAAATGTCCTATATGTAGCACTCTTACAAAGCAAGGTCTCTTGAGGACCTGGGCTCATGGGAAGGGGCTATGCAGATTCTAGGGCATGGGTATGAAAAAGCTAATTCTATCCCACTACACGGAAACCGACACGGAGGAGACCTTGGTCTTTCCCTCCTGAGAGGTGCTCACCTCCTTTCCTTACGCTACTAAGTCTAAGGTCAGCTTAACCACAGCGTAGCGTCACCATCACTGTGCTTCTAACATTAAAGTGAAAAGCTACACCATTTAAGGTAGTTCCCCCCCCCCCCCCCGCGCCAATTAAGTGAATTTGGACAAGCTGGAAGCCTAAAATCTAGAAATCCCTTTCATATTTTTGTAAAACCCTTAAAATCAATCACTGCCATTATCATTAATTTTTTAAGCTAGAAATATGAAAGGACATGAAAGGGGCAGGGATAAGTTATTACACAAATCACAGAAATGATCAACATGCATCTAATTTTACCCACTGCGCAAAGAGAGCTAAAGGGATTATGTTCTATGTGAGTTTAGAGGGAACACTACACTTAGCCTTCCCCTACTCTTGGGTGGAAGAAAAGGAAATATGAAATTGAGGAGGGTGAAAGAAATGTGCCACGAGAGAAACACCTATCATTTGTGACTCAGCTCTATCAGAGCAGAATGGGGTAATGGTGTCTGGACCACTAGTTTGTCCTCGGCAGTGACTTTATGGTTTTAGGCATCTACAGTAAGATCCCATAGCTGGGTACTGGTGTGGTATAGTGGATAAACAGGTTTCAGCTTCAGCTCACAGAGGATGATGACCAGGTTTAGCACCTCCACTGGAACTTCCTTTGTCCCTGAGTCACCTGTCACTATGAAGCCTGGGCTGCGGGTGAGAAAGCTGCGTTCTTAGAGAACTCCTCTGACTGCTCCATCTAGGGGCGGCTTTCCTAGTGGGGAAAGCAAGGATTCGGTACTGAATATGACAGTGAAGCCTTGGAGACATTCTATAGCGGTGGTAGGTGCTGTGGTTCAGGAGTAAGCTGTGAATAAGCCAAGTGCATTCCCTCTTAGGCATTAACTTTTTTAAGCAATGGAACTACATTTTTTGGCTTGAAATGGTGCTTTCTTCTATAGTTGACTTCTCAGTGATTTTCTTGGTAGATATTACCGTTTCCTCCAAAGTTTCTTCAAAACTTTCCCCTATCTTGGATGTTTTCTTAGAGGATTCCTTAGAAGCCCCTTCCTCTTCCTCTTCTTCCTCCTTTTTCAGTGACAGCCCAGTGGATGAGACTTTGGAGGTTGTAGAACTAAGCATTCTAGGAGGGAGCAAATAACTGGGGTTGGGAAGTGGATTCAGCCCTGAAATGCTTAACCCACTGGTGCTAAATCGTGTCTCTTCGCCTTCCAGCAGTTTCCTGTAAATTCAACAGAGAGAAGCTCTTAGGAACCAGGCTACTAGTTGTGTTTAAAGAACTCAACTCTTCAGTCTTTTTTCATTTTAGAGACCCTGAAGAACACTGCAATTTCTTCATGACACGGAGACTGGCAACACTGCATGGGGTTGGGATTAGCATGTACATGTAGAAATTCTCCCCAATATCAGTGCTGCTTAAAGTATGCTCAAAGGAGCCTATCCCATTCACAAACTGATTTCCTGTAGGAAAACATACAACTCTCCCTTGGTCATATTAGACACCCATTTTTGGCAATTAGAATCTCCAAAGCTCTGGAAAGAAGTGATTTCCCTAATTAACACCTTAACTGTAAAGGTGTAAGGAATGGAGAAATCCACAGAAGATCAAGAAATGACTCGCCTGGTCCAAACCACACTAGAGATGTGTGCCTTTTCCACGTGTGGAGGTACAAATGGAATGAGCCAAGCAGTGACAGAAGCCATTGAGCCACTAGTGGCCACTCAGCCTAGACTAACCCGATCAGAGTGCATACCTAATCTTGTTGATCGTAACTCTAATAGGGTTTTTGTTATTGCTTGTTTGTCAGGCTGGCCTTGGTATGTAGCTGAGGCTAGCCTTTAAGTTCTGACTCAAGATACTATTAAATACTCTGGGGACCTTATTTTGAAGTAGGTGGTATACATAGTGGAAGAAGAAAAACCATGTGTTGGCTTCAGCAGCACATATATTAAAATTGGAACGATGCAGAGAAAACTAGCATGGGCCCAGCGTAAGGATGACATCCAAATTCATGAAGTGTTCCATATTAAAAATGTCCACACTGACCTGAGGTTGAATCTGGGGGCTGTCACTTTTTTCACTTGTATTTACTTAACTAATTAAAATTTTATAAGTTTATTCATTGACTTTACATCTGAACTGCAGTTTCTCCTCTTCCCTGTCAGCCTTCTCCTCTTCACCTTCCCCCCAACAATCCACTCCTCCTCCCTTTCTCTTGGAAAAGGGGAGATCTCCCATGGATATCAACTAACGTTTGCATCAGTTGTAGTGAGACCGGACTCTAGACTAGGCCAGCTCCCACCTCCTAGCAGGGACTTTGAGTTACGGTCCGTGTTTGACCTGGCTCTGACATGTAGCGGTCATTCAAAAAGCTGCACCTGGAGTTACTTTTCTTTGTAAAAGGCAAGTGTCATTTCAACTGTCCCTTGGATCACTTTATGTTTCATTTGTATTTTTAAAGATTCATTTTTATACTTTTTAATTGTGTATGTTTGGATGTGGGTTTGCAAGTGAGTGCCGATGCCTGAGGAGGCCAGAGGCATTAGATTCCCCTGGAGCAAGTTATAGGCAGTTGTAAGCCACCTGACATGGGTGTTGGGAATCAAACTCAGGTCTTCCGTCAGAGTAGTCTGTGCTCTTAACTACTAAGCAATCCCTCCAGCCCCAACCCCTATTTTCAGAGTCTGACAGGCTTTCGTTTTGACTTCTAGAAGCCTGTGTTACCTTGTAAGGGCCCAGTAGAGGTGTGTAGAATATTCCAGGACTAGCAAGACAAAGCGAGGATATATTCAAAAGAGGGACTGAGGGGTCAGCTCAGATGGACTAGAGAGTGGCACCCTCTCATCCTGCCTTGCCGGTCAGAACAGACCACACGGAACCACTTATGTAGCAGTGTCACCTCCAGAGAGGAGGCGTTTTGTGGGGTAAACATGCCCTCTGGTGTACCTGTAAGCCGCTATCTCAATGTCAAGGGCCATTTTGACATTGAGCAAGTCCTGGTATTCCCGAAGGTGGCGTGCCATCTCGCTCTTGGTGTTCCTTAGGTCATTCTCCAGCTGTCCAATGCTATCCTGGAAAGTACATATCCAAAATACTTAGACCAAAGCAGCAGAAATTCATTGACATTTCCACAAGGCAGGGATCTCAGCCCTGACCTCACATTCAAACCAGGTAAGGAGCCAGCGGAATCCCTGCATAGCAATCTGGGTCCAGCCTCCATTCTGTTTCGTTTGCTCTGGGGAAGAGACGCAGCATTTACATTTTCCCTTACAGATCCACAGGAAACTTAGACGCATGGTAAGGGCTGGGCACTTCCAAGGGACACATGACCTTGTGGATACTGCCTTCTTTGCTTTTAAAATAATATATTAATGTGTGTGTGTGTATGTATGTATGTTTGTGCGCATGTATGAGTTCAGGGACTCTCCAAGTCCACAAGAGGCTGTCTGATCCCTTGGGGCTGGGGTTACAGATGGCTGTGAGCTGCCATATGGGTGCTAGTAATCAAACTTGATAGAGGCTGCATACTCCTTAAAGCACCATATTTAAAAAAATGCCAATTTTGAATTTTTATTTTTTTAATTTTTAATTTATACAAGTGAACACTCTATTTGCATGTATGCTTGCACACCAGAAGACGGTATCAGATCTCATTATAGATGGTTGTGAGGCCCCATGTGGTTGCTGGGAATTGAACTCAGGACCTCTGGAAGAATAGACAATGTTCTTAACTGCCGAGCCATCTCTCCAGCCTCCAATTTTAATTTTTTCACATTTATTTATTTATTTACTTGCTTATGTGTGTGGGCATATATATATTACAGAGATATGTGGAAGCAAGAAGTTGGATCTGTCCTTCCAAAAGGTGGGTTCTAGGGATGAGTGTGGAGTCTATTCTTTCCTTCCACCAGGTGGGGTTTGCGTATCAACTCAGGTTGTCAGGGTTGGCAGCAAGTGCCTTTACCGCTGAGCCTTCTTTCAAACATCCCTCAAAACGATAATTTTTAATGACGCCATTTTAAACTGCAGAATGCCACTTATTGTTAGAACATTAAAGATAATACAATCTTTCCCAGCAATCAAGGGTCATGGAAATGATGTTATTTTCCTATAATGTCATGCCTGTCATCTGATATATATATTTCAGATATATCTGGGGTTGTTTATTTCTATCTTAAATGGATCCAAAGAGCAGTGCTTATCTTCATGTTACAGTTTATTACTCTTCTTTGTCCTGAAAGGTAGCCCTATGGGTGCTAGGCATTCCTGACAACGCCTCTAGTGGTCTCCCATCTACAGGCTTGAAACCCAAATAAAAAACCGTTTCTTTTTAGAATCATGTTACGAATGGTTAGGCTAGGGGCATCAGTGCAGTCAGCTCCCATTCTGTGGTTTAGAGGTAGATGTTTTGTCTCAGCAGGTTAATTCGACCGCTTATTAAAAAGCACTTCTATTTCACAGCTGTTTTTGGAAAAAGGATTTTGAGTTCTAGATGGGTTGGAGTTTCTTGCCCTTGTACGTCATGCATTTCGTGTGGCTACTTTATGGATCAGAGTTGACAGCTCCTTCTGGAAGGAGCTGACTGACTGGCTGACCGGAGGATGCTCACCAAGCTCTGGTCCCTTTGTTTGCACACTCCTCCCCACCCTGGGCTATCTTGCTGCCCTTCACAAGGCCTGCCAAAGATGGCCTCTAGCGGAAAATGTGAGCAGAGCGTTGCAGTTTGCCCCTCCCCCAACCATGCAGCTACTGCTGCCTTAGCTTGTAGAGCAGGAGAGAGAAGGCACTCCCTGCTCCAGCTGGGGTCTCTCCTGGAGCAGCTAAGCATCTGGCCAAGGACTGCAAGAGGGATGGTTGGAAAGAAGACAAAGCACGGCTGCACTAGCATCGGCAGTAGAGAACAGGAAAAACCATGTGCCCATTTCCTGATTTCGGGGGAGGAAGGGGGAGACCTCAGCCAGGCAAAAAGAACTACTGTTATGCGTAATCAGTTAGACAGGGAGAGAGGATTTTAATGTATGGTCACTTGCAGAAGACACATGTCCTTGTTCTCACGCCTATCTCTGCTTTATCCTTGCCTTCCATCACCCTTATACTTTCCTAGAAAATGTGCTTTAGGCCAATATGCTCCACAGTCAGTCTGAGAGCAAATGGTGGAGCCCTTTCTTTGAAAGGCACATTCCTAGCAGGTGTGCTGGGACATGCACACAGAGCAGGCTTGCAGGGCCAAGGCAGGGGCACTGCAAATTCAGCCCCAGCTCAGGCTACAGGGAAACTGTGCCTCACGAAACAGAGTAAAAAGCACAATCCTGGCCCCATCTAGAAAATATTCAATCCATTCCTTCAAAAGTGGTCTGGAAAAGAATCTCTCTGTTAAAAATGCTGCTCCTAGGTCTCCGTGTGTCATGGAGTTTGGATCACTGGTTTAAATTCATTCCTGCAAAGAAGCTATTGTAGTAGTCCAGGTGACAGTAATAGGGTAAGGGTGGGGAAATAGGGGTGGGGGCGGGGGCCAGATGGAACAGCTTTGAAAAATGAGATTTTTTTTCCTCTTTTGTACCTTAATTTCAGAAATGGATCTCTCAAGCTATAGATTTATATGTAGCCTCTCACATTTCCGGTCTCCCAAGGGCCAGACCTTTCCTATTACTTAATTAGGCTGGGCTCCAATCTCATATTGGAGAGGAGGGCACACTTGGCTTATCTCCCTGGAGAACATTAACCAGAAGTGATCTTGACTGCTCAGCAAGGTCTTTCAAGGAAAGCTTTGGCTTTCTAAGGACATCCACAGCACAGCTCTGAAAGCCAGTCTCCCAGAGCCCGTCTCTGCCCAGGTTTAGTAATGACAAGGACTCTAATGGTACGGCCCCAGCTATGCAGGGACCAGAGCATCCTCTGTCAGGAATGAAAGGAAAGCCCTGTTTCCCCACTTGAAGCAGTCGTCTTTGGTCTGTAAGACAACACCTAGTTTCTTCCTATTGTTCGCATACTGCGTTACCTTGAATCACTCTTTTTCCTTTTCAAAGTATATCAAGCGTCCTGTCTCCAAATAGGCTGTCAGCTCTCTGGGGCAGGGAAAATGACTTTAATGGGCACTTTCTCTTGTCTTTGAGAAAGGGACTGGATGCTTGTAAAGGAAAAATGTGCCCACTATGAGTCTCTGAACCAGAAAGAAAGAACATCTCCCATTACCACTGCAGTGAAAAAGGAAGCTGGGTAAAAGGGCAAGAAGACAATGACTTTCCACCTTAACCAGCATTGAGATCATTGGGAAACAATAGGAGCCTTAGTGTTTGCAGGTCTAACTGTGAGCCCCACCCCAGCAGTGGGTCCCCAGGGGTATGAAACAGCTTTGTGTTGTCTGGCTGTCTCCTCCCCTCATAGGTCCACGGAGGCCCCAGGTTAAAGCTGATGGGGACAGTGCAGCAGAGCTGCAGAGTCGGCAGTGTCTCTTGCCCTTTGTCTCCTGCAGGCGAGGTCTAGACGACCCTACTATTTTCTACCACGGAAAGCCTGTATTTTAGAGAAAATAAGCCAGAGCAGCACAGAGTCTGACACTGTTAGGCATTAGGCAAGCAAAAGAGGGCGTGGCAAAGCCCAGTCCAGCTGGCAGTCTGGGGGTAAGTTATCCTTTTTGTGGAAGTACTGGACTTGTCCTCAAGGAGACTACCTAAGTCAACATTTGAGGCTTCAAGAAGAGAAGAAATACGAATCCTGTGTGATTAATTCAGATCATCCAGGGCCTTGGACACATATTCAAAAGTTTGACTTACAGATTTTGTAGCAAACCAGAAACATTTATTTGAATAAGACTGTAGTATCAGACTCATGAAACAGACATTTCAAACAGGCCTTTTCCCATTATGAAAGGGAGCCATTCATAATGGACAGTAAATGCCTGCACATCAATAGTTCTTTAGCTTCTGATTAAAATGGTACTTCTGAAATATTATGCCATTTCTCAGTTCTATTTTTTTCTTAATGTTCTCTGAACACATTAATTTCATCAAATGTAAAATTCAATCCTAGGTAGAATAAATTATTTGAAGTTTCTGAATTACTGACATTCTAGTCAAGAGTTTTTATTGCTCCATGTACTTAAACCATGTAATTTTTTTTTGTTTTTTGTTTTTTTTTTCTAAATTTTTCATTCATCCTGTCTTCTGTCCCTGTACCCTTTGTAGTCACAAGCCCAGAATGTTCAGTGTAGTGAAACTGAGGACACAGTGGCTTTGTTGGGAAGAGCCAATCGTTAATCATTATCTTCATACAGATTACAGGGCAGGGAAAGACCAAAAAAAATGTCTCCTATAACAAAGAAACCATCTCTGTAATTTGCCACGTGCATGTAAGTTGAAACAAATATTAAGGTAATGGGAATTTTCAAGTGGCACCTCACAGCTGTGGGGAACATTTAAAAGGTTTTTGTTATGTGCAAAGCCATCCATGAAGGCGAAAATTGATGCTATCTACAACATGAACTTTAACTTCAGGTAGCCAAGACTGATTGTGTTATAGAATTAAAAAAAAAAAAAAAAAAGCGAAGCAGTTAATTGCCTTGAGGCCTGGAGTTTCTAACTGGGACAGCTTGGAGACATTTCTGCCGTGGCAGGAACACGGGATCAGCACCGCGGACAGCGCCCCGACCGTTCTCAAACTGAACTAGCTCAAAGCTTGCTTAGAACTGTCAGTGGATACAGTGGGAACGCAGGGCGTTTGTGTGCCTGTGTCGCTTGGAGTTTCTTGGCGGGCGGGGGGGATAGCAAGGGTGGAGCAAGACAGTTGTGATTAGCTGAATTATGCCAGATCCCACTCCTTTGTAGAGCAAAATTCAAGAAAATGAGCCCAGTTCCCAAGGCTCAGAAAAAGCCTATCAAAGCCAATTAAACAAAGCAGATACTTAAGAACCAGACCTCACAGAGGCTGTGACCTGTCTTCTTTGGGCTCACTTTGGGACTGTTCTGCTAGTGTGTTTGCACTCTTGGTGACAGGAAGTCACAGTCAGATGTTTAAAAAAGATTAAAGACTCCCTTGTTAGTGGAGTTTGTACCTCGGTGACACAGCATGTCCAGCACATGGATGAAGACTTGGGTTCGTTGCCTAAAACTCCCCCATCTCCCAAAATGGAGTGCAGAGACATGAAGGGGTTGAAGAGCTTCCAGGCACATGCAGTTCACATTTGAGGCCGTATGCGTGAGACTTCGTGATTTGTTTGTTTGTTTGCTAACACCTCCAGTCAACACTCCTCTCTCCCCGCTTTCCCTCCCCTGGCTTCCCGGGGCCCCAGATTACAGGGAGTGCAGCTATGTGCGGAAAAGGACAGGGCACCCTTACCTGGTAGCCGGCCACCTCAGCGCTGTGCCGCTCCTCCAGTTCCAAGATCTGCCTCTCCAGGGACTCATTGGCCCCGCGCAGGCCCTCTATCTCAATGGTACGCGCCTGGAGCTGGCGCCGGTACTCGTGGATCTCCTCTCGGCTGGCTCGGATGGCTTCGGTGCTGCGCGCCGCCTGCTCGTTCAGGTTGGCAAACTTGGACTTGTACCACTCCTCGGCTGACTGCAGGTTCTTGGCGGCCAGGGACTCATACTGGGCGCGGATCTCCCTCAGCGCTGAGCTCAGGTCCGGCTTAGCCACAGCCACGTCCACCTCGGCGGCGGCCTGCGAAGACGCCTGCAGCGTGGCCAGGAGCTCGGCCACCTCCTCGTCGTGCACCTGGCGCACGAAGGCCAGCTCGTCCAGCAGCGACTCCACCTTCTTCTCCAGATCCAGGCGGGCCAGCGTGGCGCCGTCCACGTCGCGCTGCTGCGCCTTCAGGGCGCGCTCGGCGCCCTCGCGCCCGCGGCTCTCCTCCTCGCAGCGCGCCCGCAGCCGCTGCACCTCCTCGGCCAGCCCGTCGCGCTCCAGCAGGGCCTGCGCGCGCGCCGAGCTCGCCTCCTCCAGCTGCGCGCGCAGCTCGCGCAGCTCGCGCTGGAAGAGCTCGCCGACGCGCGACGGCTCGGCGTGGCGCTGCCGCAGCGCGGCCAGCTCGGCCTCGAGCGCGCGGTTCTGCGTCTCCAGCTGGTGCACCTTCTCGATGAACACCGCGAAGCGGTCGTTGAGGCCCTGCAGCTGCTCCTTCTCGTTGGTGCGGATGATCTTGTACTCGTTGGTGCGCGCCGCCGCCTGGCTCAGGTCCAGCCCGTCGGAGGCGGGTAGCCGGCGGTAGGCCAGACCCAGGCCGAGAGACGAGGCCGACGAGCAGGCGGCCGTGGAGGCCACATTGCTGCGGGACAGCGACTGCGAGCGGAAGCTGCCCGAGCCCCCGGCCCCGGAGAGGCGCGCGGACAGGCGCGAGCCGTCCCCGAACACCTTGCGGTAGGAGGAGGCGGAGCACAAGTAGTGCTCGGATCCGAAGCTCATGGTGCCGGGGTCGGGGCTGGGCGCGCGGCTGCGGCGGGACGTGGCGAGGACACGAAGGTGCGGCAAGCCTGGGTGCGGCGGGGCGGCGTGCGGGGCTTTTAAGGCGCGGGGCTGGGGCGACGCGCTGGGGGCGGAGCTTCATGTCCAGATGGAGCGGGGAGAGGAAGGGGGGCCTGCGGGGGCGGGGAAGCGCAGTGCCACCGCAGCTGCGCGCCACCGACCTGGGCTGTCGGTACGAGCCCCTCCCTGCCCGCAGCTCCTGCGCCCCAAGAATCTGCCTTGGGAATGACCCGAGAAGAGGGAATGCCCGAGCAGCCATGGCTTCCCAGCCAAGAGCACTCAGCTCTTTGGCGGCTTCAGAGCCTGCCCTTCCTTCTATATGGAGAGTAGGTTTTGGTTTTTTTTTTTTTTTGTTGTTGTTTTTTCAAAGATGTCCTCTAGTCTCATCCGCATCCCGGAGTTCTCAAGGGTGAGGCCCTGTTTCTCAGAGAGAGCGGGAGTCCACCCTCCCCCGTTTTCTCCTGCCCTAGGAGACTCCTAGTTCTCTTCGGGGGGGAAACTGGGTCCACTTCAGAAAGCGTCCGGGGAGATGGGAGGATTCACAGAGGGCTTGAGATGCTCTGGATCGGTGAAGAACGAGAGCCTGAGATTCCGAGGATTACAGGGAAGGAAAGAGGCCAGTCTTGGAAAAGGACAAAGCACTGGAATTAATTAGCCGGCTTCGTTCCCAGGCCTCCACTGAGGTCCTGTGCCAGGACCACAGTCTGGTAGAAATGAAGCTACAGGCTTTGGTTTAGACAAACAAAAATCCACCATCACCAAAACACAGTAGATTTTAAAACGTTTCAAAAATGAGGTTTTTGGCCAGAAGGTTTCATTTGAAAAGAAACTGGATTGATTGATTGATTTTGACTTTTTAACGCTCAGCCACTGATTCTCTTGAAAATAAGAGTACAGTGGGTGGAAGTGAGGTGGCCGTTGCTTAAGTGAGTTCTTCCCCACAATTCCCATCACTTCCAGGGTCATCCGTCTTAACCCATTATTCCATCTGTCTGGCCCTGTGTGCATTTGAGATTCCATTCTGAATTAGACTGGAGAACCATTTTCTGTGGAGATTAATCCATGGACCAAAGATTCAATTCCAGCAGTGAGGCAGAGGAGCAGCGCTTACAGAGCTGGCCGTCCTCACCATACAGTGAGGACAAAGAGTGGGACCCTGAAAGAATTCTATGAGACTTTGAAGCATATCCCCTGGCTTTGTGCCACAGCTGTCCTGTTTCCTTATCATTCATGGAAGACCTGAGCTAAAAGCAATTCTGTGGTCTTTGGGGTCTAAAAGACTGTGGGAAGGGAAGTGGATGCTGGAGAAGCACTGACCCTGGTGAAGAATTACTGCCTGTCACTCATTGTGCCCGCACTTGAGTGTGGTTTCCTTCTCTGGCCGTTTTTCAAGATGGCTGTCATTCCTGTCTTATGGATGAGACATTGAGGCTAGGAACAGCATGTTTGCCCAGGACCGCCAGTAAGTAGAGGCATACATTCTTTCCTCAACATGTAACTCCTCTTAGTCAGAATAGGGCCAAGTGGGCTTCAGAGAATTTTAGCCGATAACGAGTGATGAGGTTTATAATTGGAAGAACCAGTGGACTTGGTCAGAGGTGATGGCTCTGAATTGTGACCCTCCCTTTTTGACCGCATAAGAGGGAAGTGACAGCTCTTACCTCCTCTGGTGGCGGAAGGTTGACTTGCTGCACACGGCTGTGCCGGCTGTGCCGTGCTCTGCTTCTGGATGAGGAGTTCCTCGTCACCCGCATTCTCTTTTGTATGTGTGAATATGCATGTGCAACACTTACGTTCCTGGTGCCCTGAGGATCAGAAGAGGGCAGACTCCCTGCACTTGGAGTTACAAGACAGTGGTGAGTCACCATGGAGGTGCAGGAATCGAACCTGGGTCCTTTGGGAGGGCAGCCAGTGCTCGTGACCACAGAGCCATCTCTTTGGCATCATCATCACCATTGTCTTGCAGGTGGGATACCACTTTAAATTCATAACAAAGGGCATGAGTAGGATTTGAAGGCTGCAGGAAGCTATGAACTTCATTGTGCACAGACTTCTACGCTGCTCCAGGGACAGAGCCCAGCCAGTCCTGATTGTGGCACCAGCCTGGCTTGAACAACTGCAGGAAACGGAAACACGGCCAGAGCTTCCTTTGCACGCACACGCCAGTCTCGCTTCAGTCATGCTTCAGGACCTCTAGCATCATCTGTGTTCCAGTTGGAATTCCACCTTTCTTTTCCTTTCCGTCCTTCAACAAAGATGCACTCAAACACACAGATGGACACAGAACAGAAGAAAGTGAAGCAAAAGGCGTAAAGCCCAGCGGGCGGCAGCACTCTTGAGAACCTTAGGGTGGGCTACATTTTGCACTTTATCAACAGCTTCCCTAAACTTTGCCCTTCCATCTTCTGCTTCCCTTCTGGCCATCCCACTAGCCCAGGGATTTGGCTTTAATAACTTTAACACAGGCTTGTGCTACACAGGAGTTACCTTGGCTGCACCTTCATAGCTCCTTCCAGCTGTCCTGCTGTCCTGAGGGAGTGCCCTGGCTGTGCCAGGACCGTCTTCCTCCTCCTGTCAGCACTCAGGCCCTTGGAGGCTGGATCAGTCGCCCATATTCCTTCCACAGTCTCTGTGGCATTTGGCAGGCTTACTGCTCTCCTTGGCTTCAGTTTTCAAACTTCCGTTCTTCCCCTGGAGCTCTGTTTTTCACGCAGTAGGTCTTCCCGAGTCGGCTAGACCCTTCGTAGAGTTGTGCTGAGAGATCTAAATTTATGTCATGGTTCTTCCTAGCCATGCGACCTTGAACATTTTACTGAACTTTGGTGTATTCATCTATGAAACTGTCTGTGTGAGTCATCTTCAGATCTGGCTGATATTTAGAATGGCCTAAAAACTTAATATCAGCGCCTCAGACTTCACTTCTCAAGAGGGTGCTGTGTGGTTTAGTTGAGATTATGTGTACCAAGTGTCTGTCTCAAGGCCTGCAGTGTGGCTATTTAATAACACAGAAGTACCAACTTCAGTTCAGTCAGCAAACAGTCACTGAATGTTCACTGTGTGCCAGGCACGGGAGCAGGTGCATGACAGGTGGGGCTAGGGGAGGCTGTAACCAGAGGCCTGACCTGTGATGATGAGTTCTAACTCTGTTTCTGTTCAGTGGCCTTTTGGTATCCGGTGCCTCATGAGTACCTGCTGGTCACTGTTGAGAGTGAACTCACACAGGGTGTAGCACAGACTTCAGGTCTCAGGTATTCTGGAGGTGAAGGCAGAGGAGGCAGAGCTAGCCTGTGACACAATGAGATCCTTCTTGAAGAATGTAAATAAGCCGAGTGTGAGGGTGTTTACCTATGATCCCAAACATAGGAGACTAAGGCTGGAGGATTCTGAGTTCAAGGGGAGTCTGGGTTAGATGGCAGGTTCAAGGCCAGCCTGGCCTATGCAGCAAAACTTTGTCTCAAACATCCTTAAATAAATAAATAGATAGATAGATAGATAGATAGATAGATAGATAGATAGATAGATAAATAAATAAATAAATAAATAAATAAATAAATAAATGATCTCCCTCTGGGGTCACCCTCCCCATGATTTGCTCTTGACCTTCATACTACCTCTGCTCCTCAGTTATGTGCTTCTCACTTCTGGAATCTCTCCCATGCCTCAGCGCTTGCAATAACTTTTATTTTACAAATCTAGTCTTCCTTGGCTGTCCTAGAATTCATACAGATCCACCTGCCTCTGCCTTCCAAGTGCTGGGATTAAAGGCATGTGCCACCAAACCCAGCTGAAATACACTTTTGTGTGAAATATATGTTTTAATGGCAATATTTTATCTACAAAGCTTTTTATTATTCTTGTACAGGAAGTAAAAAGTGTTATACTTTCAGTGTAACTGGTAGCCATGAATGGTTGACTCATCAACCAAGTTTTTCATGGTACATCAAGAGTCTTAGATGAAACTCTACCTTTTTTGTTTTGTTTGTTTTTTGAAACAGGGTTTCTCTGTGTAGCTCTGGCTGTCCTGGAACTTTCTCTGTAGACCAGACTGGCCTTGAACTCACAAAGATCCACCTGCCTCTGCCTCCCGAATGCTGGGATTAGAGGCGTGTATTGCCGATACCCACCTGAAACTTTACTTTATGAAATTAATTTGAGACAGAGTCTCTTGTAGACCAGGCTGGCTTCAAATGTATCATATAGTGTTCAGAAATGACCTTGAGTTTCTGATCCTCCTGCCTCCTCGCAAGTGCTGGCGTTATCGGTGTGCACCACCATCCCCAATTAATGTCGGGCTGGGGAGCCCAGGGCCTCATGCATGCTGAGCACTCACTCAGTCACACTCCCAGCTTCTTTAAATTTAATGTGCAAGTAATGGGTTTCATCATGGCATTTTCCCCACCCACACTTACTCTTCGAGATAGTGTGTTGCTGTGCAGCCCAGGCTGGCCTTGAGCTCTCAGTATTCCTCCTACCTCAGCCTCCCATCTGGCTTATTATGGTATTTTCTTTTGAAAATTTTTATTTATTCAGGGTGTGTATGTGTATATGTGTGTTGGTATGCATGCCATGGCACATTTGTGGAAGTAAGAGGACAACTTTCAGAAGCCAATATCACCTTTCCCCTTGTGAATGCAGGGTCTCTCTCTTGTTTTTTCTACCATACTGCTTCAGTCAGGCTGCTAGTCTACCAGCTTCTGGGCAGTTGTCCTGTCTCCACCTCCCTGTAGGAGTGCTGGGGTTACTGTGTGTGTGGGGGGGGGGCAGAGTCTTACCATGTTATTCTGTCTAGTGTGGAACTCGTTGTGTGGACCAGCTGGCCTCAGATCTTCCGTGTTTCTGGCTCTGAGCACTGGGATTATAAGTGTGAACCACCATGCCCAGCCACATCCAGCTTTTAATGTGGTTCCTGGGATTGAAATGGTTTTCAGACTTGGGAGGCTAGCCACCTTACCCACCAACCCATCTCCCTGGCCTTTTAGTCTGGCGCTTTAATACAT